CTGGGGGTTCTGTACTGGGGATGCTCAGGTTTGAGCCCTTCAGGTAATGTACAGCGGCGATGGGAGCAGAGATCTTACTGGCCATTCCCAAACTGGGGAAAGTGGTGGTTGATCTGAAAGCTGCAAAGGCTCTTTAAACAAAAAATTCGTGAGACAGCAGGACACAGAAATGTACAGCTGCTGCTTCTGAATTTGCCTTGCTTATGAAGTTTGCTGTCACTCTGCTATGAAGAGCTAAGTAAATGCTAAATGAACTGTATTTAAAAATACTTCCTCAATAAATGGCCTTGCAAATTAAATTTCAGAAGATGATCTTACCTTTAGCCCATCTTGATGATAATTTTAATTATGGTTAATAAAAATTCAATCTGCATTTCAAGTTTATTGTCTTACCCCATCATGACTTCATCCTTTAACAAGATTGGTAATGACGCAAGTGTGTACAGGACAAAGCACTCACCTCGAGACACTGAACTGGTAAGAAAGTATATTAGTACAAGTGCCATTTTCCAACCTAAATATACCCATAGGGTGTTGATATATTGATATTATGCCAGTATCTACCTCTCTGGTGCTTACCTGTCCATTATATGCTTATATCCCATGGCCATCCATCCCCCGGCTGACTGAACAAGTCGTCAGGTCCTCGGAGAAGACCTGACTGTCTTCCTGTACCTGCTCCAATGTGCATTGATCGTGCTTGGGCTCCATCGCCCAGCAGGACATGTGGGTGAGGTCTCACCTGGCCTGTTGGTATGACTGCTTAGCCGTCATCTGTTTCTCCTCTCTTTGGAGGCTGCGTTGTGTGAGCTGTAGTTGGGACTTCTGTAGCATCCTTCCATCTGAGGATCAAAGGGGATCGCAGTGCCGCTAAGCGCCGCAGCAGCGTGCTGCCAGCTTTCCTCCCATTCCATCCAAACCTTCTGAGAATGGTGTTTTTTCACATCAGGTGTCCACCAGCTCTCCGTTGTGGACAGGGATACTCAGGCAGCCTCGTCATCTTTCTGCTGCTTGTTTTCTTAGAGACATCATGGCAGAGCTTTGGGGAAGTGCCGTACCATTAGCAGCACGCGTGCGCTGCTGAGCCCCCTTGGCCCCTGCCCAACTGGACCTGGAGCCTGCTGGTACTGCCAGGGATCTGCTGCTCCTGGATGTTTTCCTATGGATGTTACGGGGCTCTGCAGCTCTTAAAAAGCCAAGTTGGAAACACTCCCCATGGAAATTTGTCTTTCCCTCTCTCTCTTTTTTTTTTTCTTTACTCTTCAGGAGATATCACAATTACAGATTTGGGATACATCAAGAGGTGACCATATTATTCACCTCCTGGTGCAAAATTAATCTTTGGTCTATGGAAATTCAAGGGCAGAGTAGTGGACTGAGTGAACTGCGAGCTCCATAAAGATAATCTGATGAATTAATGGATGCATTGTGTACATTTAATGGGATTTCTTCCATCTTCCTTTAAGCATTGTGATTGCCATACATAGCATAGCATGCCCTTCCTCTTCCTCCTGCTCCAAACCCTGGTGAGAGCCTGTGGATGAATTTCCATGAGAGGTGCCTGGAGAGGGTCAGCCTTTTGAGTTGGAAAGTGTTTGTGGCTGGCTCAGCTATCCAGGGTTTTCCTTCCCGAGCTTGCTGCCCTGGTATCCCAGATGTTCAGAAACATGTGCAGACACTTACACGTGTCGATCGTCCAAAGGGAAGAAAGAGAGGTAAAGTGACTTTGAAACCAGTTGTTCCATTATTCCCCGTTCGGGGAGTAATGAGTAACCCGTGACTCGTGCCGTGTCCCAGTGACCCGGCTGGATTGCCGGTCTGCCGCTGGGGTGGAAGAGCTGCAAGCGCTGCAGCCGCCTTCCTTGCCTTTGCACAGGGCAGACTTTGCCCAGTCACACGTTTATTTCTTGAGCCCAGTTTCCTGACGTCACTGGGATATACAAAGAATTTTTCAGCTGTCAGTTTAGGAAGAGAAGAGAAACTTAAAAACTAAAGATAGGAGCATGGTCAAAGTTTGCTCAAGTATTTTATTTAACCTGAAGGTTTATAGCACTACTCTGTCTGGATTTTTATGATTGCTTATTTATGATAGTCTTTTAAATCACTGAGCAATTTGGTTAGAAGTAACCCTTCTGCTGTTTCTTTCTCTTCTCCTCTTGGCCCATGCTTTTAGTAAAGTGATGTCACTTGCTTGGAGAACATTAAATGCCATGCAAGCTTCATGTGATAAGAAACTTTAAATATGCACATTGAAGAATCTGGCAAGGCATGACTTATAAGGGAATATCGTTTAGTAGCAAGCCGATCTAATTGGAAAATGTGGTTTTACTTCTGAGAGAAACACTTCTACAGGTCTTGGAGGAGGCTTGTTCCGTACACGGGCTGTGCTCGCTTTCTGGAGCACGCTAACGGCTCCTGCACACGCTGGGTATCCGTCATGTCCCTGGGAGGCAGACTCACATCCCATGCTATTTTTATAAAGTTTATTTCACCATTGCCCTATGACAGGGTTAAGTTTGGGCCTGGGTTAGATCATTCTACTTCTATATTTGATATTTTGAAACTTTGGAAGTGGTACAAGCGGTGATGCTCAGTCTCATTGGAACCAACCTGAGCAGTAGGACACCAGCTCTCTCCCGGAGACCCAGCAGCTGCATGGCAAGCTTCCCCTCAGGAAAGGTTTTCTGCTCAAAAAGGTGATCAAAACCAAAGACCTTCTGGGGGAGGAAAAAAAAAATATTTGAAAAGTATACCTGGTTTCTAAGGTTGTAGGAAACTTTCAAACATCTGTCTTGTTGCCTTCACGTTTTCAGAGTTGAAGAACTTATATGCAAGAGGTAGAGTTTTGCTTGTATTGTTGTTGATAGTAAACATTGATCATAAGTACGAAGTAGGGTATGTAGCAGTGGGATCTGAGATTTCAAGGTTTCGGATTTCCTCTGCTGATTTTTCAGCACTGGACGGATTCCTGTTTCTTGTTCCCAACCTTCTGGAGAGCAACAAACTTTTCAAGCATTCCAGCCTTTTATTATTTCATTTGTATAATAAAATCCACATGGATTACAAGCTGATAGGTTCACGACTATGTCCTGGTGGCTCTGCGTAGCACTGCGGTGGCCCCACAGCTGCGTTGCCAGCATCGAGGTCCTACCTTGGGTTCGGGCAGCCCAGAGGATGCTGTCAGTGCCGTTGCAGTAATTGCCATTTTGTTCCATTTGGCAGCTGGTGATGGAGTTCTGCGGCGCGGGTTCCGTCACCGACCTCATCAAGAACACGAAGGGGAACACCTTGAAGGAGGAGTGGATCGCCTACATCTGCAGAGAGATTTTACGGGTACGTGTCCCAAGGGAGCTAAATGTCGGGGGTGGTTGGAATATCATGCTCGGGGGATGTGGAAAGCCTTTGGCTCTGCAGGCTTCGTGGCTGCCACGCTGCCATGGGCTGGAGCTTCTTTGGTGCCGGTAGGCATGAATGATTCATGTGCTTGTATGATGCATAATAAATAAGTCCGATTTAATGCCCTTTAGCTCTGTTAGTTCCCTGATTTTTAACCCTCTTTTTCCTTCAACAAAAAAATAATTTCCTTTAGTATTAATAGGGCAAAAATTTATTTACATTAGAATTACATTTTCAGTTAACAGAAAGGTGAGGACTAATAAAGGCTGTGGAAAGAATCTTCATGATTAAAAAGCACCCTACATTTTATTAAATCCACATGTCTCTGGCTTTAATGAGGATGCTGCGGCTTTTGTACCCCCAAGATAAATGTTTGACTGGAATGTCTTGAAATGGGCCGTGCCAGAGTTTCACGTACTGGGAGATGGCAGCTTCAGCAAAGGCTTGCTTGCGTTTGGCGCAGCTCAGGTCAGATGATGTGATCGTAATGGTTGCCCGGCCTTAAAATCTATTGCTCCCTGAACCAAGGCTTGATTCAGGAGAAAACAGAAATATCAGGCATGCAAGGGAAACCTGTAGAAGAGCCATTCAAGTGATAGGACAAGAGGAAACGGCCTCAAGTTTAGATTGGATATTAGGAAAAATTTCTTCACCGAAAGGGTTGCCAAGCACTGGAACAGGCTGCCCAGGGGAGTGGTGGAGTCACCATCCCTGGAGGTGTTCAAAAGACATGTAGATGTGGTGCTTAGGGATGTGGTTTTGTGGTGGGCTTGGCAGTGTTAGGTTTATGGCTGGGCTCGATGATCTCAAAGGTCTTTTCCAACCTAAATGATTCTATGAAAGAAAACGAGGCAAAATGCTGTGAAAAGAGGCATCTGACACTGCTGCCGAGGCTGCTGCTGGTGTCCAGGGCTGACACAACACTTCTCTGTTGACCCTGAATGTCACCATCTGCACCAACATGATGTGCTGAAGATGTTGGCGCTGTAGCTCATCAGTTGTTGTGCGGACACTGTTTTCAGTGCCAGGAAACCACAGTTACACAGGCTTATTTTAAATGTATGAGCTCTGTGAGCCTACTTCTTAATATAGTCCCTGCCAGTGAGTCAGAACCCAGCCACTGACTCATGTCCCAGGGCCACCATCGCGTGTCTTCACTGGCATTTTGGCCGTTGGCTGGTGACCTCCACAGGGCTTCGGGCAATGAAAGGTTCCCACCTTTCGTGCTGCGGAAGGTGGTGGCTCAGTCTTGGCTCAGATGTTGACAGCCACTTGTAATTCTAACACGAGGCTCGATCCCACGTTGTTCAAGGATTTATTGAAATTCAGTCAAATTTTTGCGTTGTGTCCAGTGCCCAAAGGTGCCTCAAACTGGGAATAACATGGCTAAGAAAGTACAGATATAATCTATTCCGTGGTGTTGCCCCAAGGTAACAAGCATAAAATGACTAATAACTACCAGTAGTGATAGCAAAAATTATTTTCTTCCTCAAATATGAATGTTTAATGTGAAATGTAAACCTAATGCAAAATTAGCTTTTGAAGTAATCCATATTTCTTCTAAGCTGGCAATATAGGTGGATGTTCCTTTGAAACTGAAATAATAAATGAATGAAATAAAAATGTGGGTTGCAAAAAGAAATTAATGGGCTAATAAAAAAGCACAACAGAAAAGCTAGTTTACCTTTAGCCTTTGAGACAGGCTTTTAATTTGAGCTATATTTCTGTTTAGGGATATGTGCGAGTTATAATATTTGTATTTGCATGGTAGCTTTTTTAATACAAGCTTTTCAGCGTATTGGAGTCCTGTGTATTGGACCGATAAGAGAATTGTTTTCTTCAGTTTCTGGATGATGGAAATACAGAAAGGAGACAAAACCATTCTATTATTTCTGCCACAGAAATGGCTCCCTAAGGCAAAAAAACACACGGGGGAAAATATGTCTAGAGCTACGGAGGAATGTGGGTTAATACGGGTTCCTGCAGAAACTGAAAGGTTGGTTTTAATCCCCATTGACGGTTCTCCTGTGATGGAGAGCACCCACTGCGGCACATATAGCCCATCGGTGGGCGTCTCGCTTGCCAGGCATGTCCTCCCAGCGTGCGACATGGGACAGTATTTTGAACACATGGTAAACAAAAGCATTCTGAAGTGCTTAACTCCAACTGTGAATCTTTCATTTCTGGAGCGTAATTGGTTGAGGAGGAATGTCAGAAAATAACATGCTTTGAACTTGGATTCCTCTAACCTTTCTCTGAATTCTCTAGGGCTTGAGTCATCTACACCAGCACAAAGTAATTCATCGAGACATCAAGGGACAGAATGTATTGCTGACGGAAAATGCAGAAGTTAAACTAGGTAAGAGTGGTTTAGAGCTCTTGGAAACTGCAGGTGGGCTGGCTGGAGAGAAGCAGCAAAACTGACTTGCACGTGACTTGGAGAAAGAGAACGGATACTAAGAGCTGCTCTGTGTTTTTTCTTGTGCCAGCCTCTACAACATGACCAAGTGCTGTGCAATAAACTGCTGGTGGTTGATGGCCAAGTTCAGCATGTAGTGATGTACTTGCAGTAGTGTTTCTGTTCAGACAGGTAGTTTGGGCAGCTCTGCCATCAGATACAGGTTAACCCATCGAGACCATTTTTTCATGCCCTGGGTTGAAAATTGGCCTGTATGCACCCCCAGCCATTATAGAAGGCTGTGCTCTCACACCTTCCTATAGTGTCCTACAGGATCATAGTCCGCTCAATTTGATGTCACATAATCCAGATTTGTTTTCCAAGCCAACCTGTTGGAGAGAGCTTAATTTGCAAGAACTACTCTGAATTTCGTATGCAATGTTAGTCACCCTGGAGAAGTCCAGGCATTCACGTGAAGATCATCTGGAAGACAGCAGATCAGCAGGCCTGATGTGCTGATACCCTCGGTTGTCCAGCACTAATGTTTTAAGGCTGGTTTTGTGCGTTTTAATTTATGGCAGTGATGAAAGATCTCTTACACTGGTAAACTGAGGTGCAAGCCTTGTGTTCCCATGTCTCTCCTCTCTCTTTACAGCAGAATAAAACCCCAGCTTAACAGATGGCACCACCAGCTCGTTTGGCTTTATGCTGGTGAATATTCCCCTCCAAGGGGAAATTCTCCAGGGCAAATCTCCAACCATTGTGTTGCACAAAGTGAACTTAGTGGACCATAGAATATTCTCTCATTGATTTGATTTCATCTGTTTTTGCTTCATTTTGCAGCTCTCTGCTTGACATTTCCCTATGGGCCTTTGACCTTGGCCCTTAGTTTCTTAAGTCTTTTTGCACTTCTGCCATTTCCAGCAAAAATTTAGGTAGAAAAATGAGGCTTCTACCAATATTTGGCAGGCTTTAATTGAAATGAGAAAGCATAGAACAAAGGCCACTGCTTATTCATGTTGCTAACCCTGTTTCTCATTAGTATGAGGAGCTGTGATTTCATTGCCTCCTGGCAAGGAGGAAAAAGCACAGGATTTCGTGCAAAACCTGGACATCAGACGATCAGGTTTGTCCTTGATTGACCTCTGTTGATCCCAGCAGAGATCAAACCGGAATGTCTCTGGCCCTGTCTTTCTCTCCTCACTGTGCAGAGAAGTTGGTCTGAACGATTTTATTGTTTTACAATCAACAGAAGGGTTGCTCAGGTTTTCCCTGACCTTAGCGATGCCGTGTTGTCTCTCTGATCCACAGTGGATTTTGGTGTCAGCGCTCAGCTGGACAGAACGGTGGGCAGGAGAAACACCTTCATTGGAACGCCTTACTGGATGGCCCCTGAGGTCATTGCCTGCGATGAAAATCCAGATGCCACTTACGACTTCAAGGTACGTACGCGAGCATCTTCCTGCTCTTGTATACGTCACTGTAGGTGTAATCTTTGCAAAGTCTAGCACGTTTACTAATAAGGCAGGGAAGGAATTACAGTAGCACTTCTTGGTGCTTGCAGTGAGAGTTGCGATCGTAAACATCAGAAGAAGGTGCTTGGTATGATCTCGGGTTTTATGCCCCAGTACCATGAACTTGAGCGCTCAGGAATTTAGTATATCCTTGCAGCTTTGCAAAATACGTTGACAGGCAGCGTAGTCTCCTCCTTCTTTCTGGCTGTTGGATTTTGAGATGCGAGGTCAGGTCCAACGTGATTCTTTGTTGTGCTGCTCACATATCCAAATTTACTGTGAAGAAGTCTTTCCCCGTGCTGAGAAAGGTGTCAGACTGAGGCTCCCTACCTGCTAGCCTGCTTTTCAGTGCTGCGTGTTTAAATACGACAGTCAAACATGCTGTATTTGCTCTATTTCCTCTGGAGAGAAGTCAGGTCAGGTTTAGAAAGGGCAAAATCACATCTTCTGGCCCGCAGGCTGGTGTTCGCAGAGAGATCTGAAGGCTGCCACGCAATCAGACGTTTGGGGGGCTGACCTACTTTTCATATGTCTCTCTTGCCTGTTAGAAGTTTATTTTTGGATCGGTGGCAGCACAACATTGCTGCTGAGCTATAATGTGGCACAGAGCCCCGTGCCACGCACAGGTCAGCAGGAGGGTTATGAGTACCACCTGCCCATTCAAAAACTACAGCGACGTCTGATGTTTAAAGCAAGGAGAGCTTCATATATTTTATCCTGTTTCTGCCTTGCTGCAAGTTTCTGGACACGCATCTGTAGAAATGTCCCTTGGTGTTTTAAAGCATCCAGAACTTGAATTTCTAGCTCCAAGTCCCCTAAGGTCTACCCAGCATGTCCAGAGAGGAGAGGAAGACACTAGCACGTGAGCTTTGGGGAGAGAAGCTAAGAGATACATAAAGCTCGCTGTACCTCCGTTCATGGGCATGCCGAGAGGTCACTTCACAAGGTAATGTCTAAAAAGGACTTTTGAGACCCCTTAGTTTGGAGCTGGGTAAGCTAACAGTAAGACGCTACAATATGATAGTGCAACAGCCCACCATCGTGGTACGGTTTGGGGTGCAATTACCAATCACTCAGAGAATATTTTGAGAGATGAAGGATTTTAAAGTAACCAAGCGATGCTTTGGTATGGCAGCTATTTAACTGCATCAGTCAACTTTTGAACTGATGGTTTTCCAGAGAGCAGCTCTCCAGTGTGAGTTAAGACTCCGGGTTACATAAATCGTTACTGAAGAGGACACGTAGAAATAGTTTAATCTGCAATTACTTAATCCTCTTTGATTAACCAATTACAACAGGCGTTTCCTCAACTCTGCTGATGGCAGCGCTCCGTAGCAGGGCTGCAGCCTGTGCTAGCTGCTCTCGCCGCTTCACCGACAGCCGCCTGGTGTAACGCTCTAATTAATCGCAGCTTTTTATTGCTATTTTTTTGAAAAGAGGACTGATATCTTCATAGGCTACTTTGCACCCTCAGAAATCCCTGAGGATTTTCCCCTTTCCAGAATAACTAGGGCACTTAATATGCCGTTGACTGATGCACAAGCGCTGGGACCAGAATCCTTCTATTGTCCCCGAGGATCAAACGCTCATAGCGAGCTGGGCGCTCGTGTCTCTGAAGTTGGCATTGACCGTTTTCCCTTGGCTGGGGGTACGAAACAGAAGGCTGATTGCTGCCGACACACTCACTGCAGGGTGTTTTTGGAGCTCGTGGTGATGTGGGAGCCACTGGACATTAGTCCGTACCCAGGATCACATCCCTGCACCTGATGCTCTTGCTTTGAAGTGTGTGTGGGGAGGAATGTAAATGACTTTTTTTTTTTTTATTATTTTTTTAAAGAGATGCAAATCAGGTCCTCTCAGTTTTAGCTGACCGGCTTTAAAATACTGAATACAAAAGATGAGATTTATAGGGTGAAAAAAGGAATCTTTGCAGGCTTAATCTGTTGGACAAAAAGCCTCTGATCTCACTGTTTTCTTAGCCAGAAAGAGATTCCTGTGTAATCTATGGAAGGAGGCAGTAAATACCTCCTCACAAAAATAAACCACGAGAACAAACAGAAACCCCGTATTGTTGAGGTTATTTATTGTTTTTTCCCCCAGCCGGTTTTCCTTTTTTCTTTAGAGATACCTTGTCAAAAAGCTTAGAATCCGAGGCGGGGGAAGCTTGACTCCCTTCCCGAGTCAAGACGATGCAAATATATTAGCACATTGTCTTTTTGCTGGGTGGACTGAAAAGCTTTTCAGACTCAAAAATACCTTCCCACCCCCCCCCAAAAAAAACCCCAAACAAACTACCCTCTGAATTCCAGATCATGATAAAATGCGCGCTTCCACTGTTTTCTCTGGGAGACTTAGAGAGGTGGTAATCCCTTTCTGTATTGCTCCAGCTTTAAGATTACTTGGCATCTTGCGTATAATACTGGGCACCTCGATATGGAAAGACACACTAGGAATTTGGAAAGAGTTCAGCGGCAACCCAAAGGGAAGGGGTCATGTGTGCTGCATCATGTGGAAAGACTGCGATAATTACGTATGCGGCAGAAATCCCGGCTGACCAGAAACAAAGAACAGATGAGACTGTCCCGTGAAAAGGCTGGAAATAAGATTTGAGAGAGAATTTTTTAAGCAGGTACAAAGATGTGTAGCAAGGATGGCATTTGTTAGGAGAGAATTTGAGTTAAAATGAAGAGAAGCGCCTTGATAGTGAAAATCCAAGTTGTCTTTCCTGGAAAGTGCATGTGAGAAGGTGCCTGTGGTCCCTTGTGTCAAGCTTTTGGGGCTCTGCACTGGGAAAAACAACCTTTCTGGGATTTACTCACTAAATTGCAGGTTTAGAGGCTTGAGGCGGTTTGGAAAGGGCAGCTCTTGAAATGGAGAGAAGAAAACTGAAGAGGGACCACAGGCACGTGGCAGAGAGCAGGGCAAAGGGAGAGCAAGACGTGAGAGCTGGAGGTGCAGGAGGAAGGGTGAAAGGCAGAGTCTGTCCCTTCCACCCTGAGATGTGCCTGTTTGCAGTGTTTGCTGGTTTTGATGTGCTAGCTGGTCTCCAGCAAACATCGGCATCAGGCTTGATCTGGTCCCCTGTGCGTCTGCAGCCTCTGCCCTTGCTGCCCTCCCATTGCAGGCAGGTCTCTCCACACTCCCCCCGGAGATGTGTCAGAGGCTGTGCTTGAGACGAAGGCACCAAAATTAGTCTGGGTCCTGTTCCTGCCGCGGCGGGTGCGGGGTTGTGAATCATTAGCAGCCCTATACATGGTGTCCAGAATAATGAATTAGCCGCCTTCTGCCAAGAAAACAAGTTGCAGCAGTGCCATTAGGGAAGGTGCTCATTTTCTCTCGCCAGGCACGTATTGTCTCTGCCTCCTCTGCTGTCCAGGAGAGCCGAGCCGTCCTCTGGGACTCGTTACCAGATCCAGAGGTGCAGCCACAGCTCATCAGTGATGGTGGGGTGGGGGGAGGCACTGGAGGGGATCTCACTGCTGCTCTCTGGCAGGGAGCTGGGGATGCAAATGTCCCCGTTTGAAAGGGAGAACATTGGAGGAAAAGCGATACAAGTATGAAATCAAAGGAGTTTCCCAAACAAGTGCGTTCTCTGTGCTCTGATCATTCAGGAGACTCAACCAGCCATGTGGGCTGAGCAGGGCTTGGGAACAGGGTGAAAAAAAGTGCCCATTTCTTCTTCCACTGGTGAAACGCTGCTTTTCAGGCTTCTATTTAATGAGCAGTCTGTGATACAAGAGCCTTCTGAGGTATCTCGAGATAGATACTTCATGTTTTCAATCTGTTCCAGGCAGCCCGTTTTCTGTGGAGCTCTATCTAATCCATGGAGCTTTAAGCAGGGACCTAGCAGCCAGGTTTGCTGCTTACCCCAGCCCTGAAGCCAGGGAGTAGTTCGTCACCAGCTCATCTGGGACCTGGGGGTTCGTTTGTTAGTGCACAGTGCTCGTTAAGATGCCCCCCACCAGGGGACCTCCAGGTCATCAGCATCTCCTCAGGCAGTGTCCTCACCACAGCTACTGGGAGCGGTGCCCCAGCGAGGTGGCCGTGTCCCACACCAGAAATGCCTTGAAGGTTTTGAAATAAATCTTGGGATAAAGAGCGGGGTTGGGAATCTCTTCTAAAGCTCCAACACGTGGCAGGAGGATGAGACAAGCTCCCAAGGTGTGGGTCTGGGGACTTGCAGAGGACACGGCGACCCAGCTCACAGGGCTGAACCTCCTGGGCTGGGCAGAGCCACGCTTCCCCCCTCGCCTGGTGCCCACCGCTGTGACAATGCTCCCCTGCATCGTGTATGTCCCTCTGCTTTCTTTTACAGAGCGACTTGTGGTCTTTGGGGATAACGGCCATCGAGATGGCGGAAGGCGCTCCCCGTAAGTAGATGCATCGCTCTGCTTTAATTAACGCTGGGTTGTAACGTGCTGGGGTTTGCTGAGCACCAGCCATCGCTCGGTTCTGTGCAAGAAACACTGTGCAAAGGTTTTCCCAAGCAACCTGGGCTCGCTGAGATGGAGCTCCCAGGGTCCAGGGCAGCATGGCCCAGGGGACAGGATGGGCAGCGAGCAAAGGCACACAACCCTTTGTGACTCCCGATGTGTCACTTGGGCACTCTGGGACTCAGTTTCCTCAAATAAAATACAGGTGAAGATAGGGGTGGAGGACCAGGAGCTGGTTAAACGCTGCTCCTCAGCGCTGGTGTTACCGACCTCCGCGATGACACAGATAGCGGCACGCTGGGTTCAGCTGGTGCATCTGCACAGGTCATGCTGCCACAGGTTTTCAGCATTATCCTGGCACCGTCCTTGCGTGCAGGTAAATGCAAGGAAATAAAGCGGAGCGATCGCCATGTGGTACAGCTGTGCCGTGCCCTGGGCCTGTTGCTGTCAGCATCTGGCAGGGTGCTGGGCACACGCAGCTGCGGGAGCGCAGGCGTCCCCGACCGGCCCCTGCCGCTGAGCCTGGGGATGTCGGCTCTCACCTGAGCTCCAGGGCCAGGGGTTGTCTGTAAGGGGTTGTCGCTGTAAGTCCTCCTGCCCTGCGGGTCTTGTAGCTTCAAAGCAAACTTGGGTCCCCCCGGTTGGGTGTGTAGCCTCTCTTTAGGAAACTTGGGGGGGTCTGTGAGACGCCGTGCCGTGTTTAATGCCTCTTCTTGCACATTGCAGCTCTCTGTGACATGCATCCCATGAGAGCCCTCTTCCTCATCCCCCGCAACCCGGCCCCAAGATTGAAATCGAAGAAGTGGTGAGTCTCTTTCTCAATCTTCAACGGCTGTAAAAACGTTTCTGGAGCAACTTGATTCTGCAGCTTGGGTGCACTGAGGATTTGACATTTATGTTTATATAGCTTCAGGGGTCAGTGACCGTCTCCAGCATCGCTCCGGTGAGTGTAGCTTTGGGTCTTGATCTCCTATGGAGAGGCAATGTGGTCTGAAGGAGTCGCTTACCATGGGATGGAGAGCTTCCTCGGTAGGCAGAGAGGGGAACTCTCTAACGCTGCCATTTCACAGCATGGCGTCGGCTTTTCCAAGGCAGTTTGTGCAGCCTGAAGCCAGATGACACTTCGTTTGGCTCCCATTTCTTTCCAGTCAGGTTCCGTTTTCAAGTGGAAACATGTATCCAGGCCAAAAAAAAAAAAAAAAAAAAGGACAGTTTATCTTGAAGGCACAGGAACGCGGAGATTTGTACTTAGTTTGGTCTTTACTTTAAAATTTTTGCAGGAAAAAATACATCACTGTTTTGAAAAAAAAGCAGGGCATGCCAATAAAAACCCGTAGGAAAAATATCCCTGAAGCCCAGCAGATGTTGTTTTGTTACTGTGTGTTCTGTACCGATGGAGCTGGAGCCCTTAGAAGCACTCATCTTTGGTTTGTGCTGTTTGCCTGCCCCAGGTTCA